AGCAAGTGGGAGCGCAAGAGAGTCGTATGGTGCATGGTATAGCGGTGGCAAGTGCTGAGCAATCCTGTGGGTAGCGGCGTTTATTTGTTATTTATCTCCGAACGGTCGCAAAGCCATTCCTGTAGTATAAATTGTACAAAGTAGTGTACAGAAAAATAAGTTTCGACTTCACCATCTCAGAGAATTAGAGTTACGATCTCAGCGACCCGAGAAGTTCGAAAGCGTCGAACTTAGCGAATTATAACCGATCTTAGCTTTGCCAATAGGCCTAACTCGTCGAGTGAATTATCTCCGCCATCGATCCAATTAGCTCCGGTGAGTCTCACATAGCGAAATAAAATTAACCAAGTTTCTCTAGCAATTTCTACTCCCGTGGGCCCGAACCTACACTCGGTTTCGTGGTTTGCGACTTTGTCTGCGACTTTCCGGAGATAAATACTCCGGAGCGTCCCTTAGTGTTTGTTTCAGGCGTCAAGGTTTTGTTTTATTTTTCTAGGTCTTCCTACGGACTACCCTACGGCGTCTTACTCCTCCTTTCCCCCTCGAACTATTAAATACCCTTCAGTTGTCTCGGACCGCCTTCACCCATATCACGGGGTTTAGGTTTATTTCCTTTGGTCCTTGGTGATTGTTGTGTGTCAGTGCATATCAGCGTACTGACATAAGTTGAATGGTCCACGCCATATTTGATTCTGGTGTTCTCATTCACGAGCAGATGATAATGTGCCGCACGAAGCGGCTTACAAACCTGGTCTTTGAGAAGCAAGACCCAGAACATAGACTGGATTTCGGATATCGGTGGGATGGCGCCTATAGCGGGTTTTGTTCAGTATTCCATCTTGCAGAGAATGCGATGAGTGGTGAGAAGTGGAGTACTCACCAACACCCGGCCTGAAGAAGCCTATAAATGCCACACTGGTATCCCCGCTCCAGCATATATTCCTCACATCCGCTTCCCCAGGCGTCTTATACCCTTCGCCTAGGAAACCGAATTTTTGCTCATAACCGGTGGCATATACTACCAAGTTCGGCTTAACAACTTTCCCCTGGATCCGCACTGCATCCTTGCGCTTTGGCCTACTGCGCTTGTCCAAGTCAAGAGGACAGATGGCACGACCCCCCCTCTGTGAAGTGCGAGGAGAAGGGAGCCAGTTCGACCGTGAAATCCGTCTGCGGGGGCATATCCTCGTCCGGATCACTGTACCGCGAGAGATAGTCCATGAAGGTGGGTCAACGGCGGTAGGGACGATTTATGTATGGCAAGGCTTTGTGGGACTGGACTATGAGCAGCGCACGACGGGAAACAAAGACATAGTGAAACCTTGTTGAGAAAGACGTAGGCACGCCCTAGGTGCTCTGGCTCGAGTTCGCCGATCTATCTCATAAAAGGCATTAGGTTCGTGGCCAGCTTGCCTCGCGTAGTGGTACGTACCCACTGGTTGCAGCCTGCTTGCGTACCTTCCGATCCATAAGCGCTGGGTCCGTGCTGGGATGTATCGAGATATTCATACCTGTCAATACCCAGAGCACTCTCTTGATGACGAAGTCCGAGATGCTATTGCACAAGCGCATCAGCTCAGAGTCAAAGGGAGCAGAAGAATCGCGAGATACTCACAACCATCGGGTATGCGACTTTGCTACCCATGGATGCTGCGGGAGACTGCTGTGAGCTTGAAGGGAGATGTGGAGGTACCTACTACATACGTGGTCTCTCCGAGATTCGTGATGAGTGAATCGATGGGCACCGGGCTCTTGGACTCAAACTTGAAGCCGAGTAGGGAAAAGTCATTCTGTGGAGCAACAAACTCAGCACCGAGACAGGGCTGACAAGTGCTTTCGGGAAAGACAAGAACCTGACCTACCGGGTTAGCCTTAGCGCTGTACAAAACACTCAGCTACTCACCCCGCCCTCGAACAAAGCACCACTTCCTTCGCCCCTGCCTTGGCAGACTCGTAAGCAATGTCCATCCCTGTTTCTCCCGTGCCAAGAATCAGGATCTCCTTCCCTCTTAGCTGGTCCCGAGACTTGTATTCAGACGAGTGAAAAAGTTTCGCTTCGGGGTTATTTTTCAGGGCGTTGTCAACTCCTGGAATATCAGGGACATGGGGAACAACGTGTAAGCCGGTACAGATTGCAACGTAAGGTGTGTGTATAGTTATCGCCTCTATATGGTTTATTAGAGTGGCATGCTGCGGTAGACGCCCAAGAGACTTACCGGAATCCCATTCCGCGGGGTTATCTTCGCGTTTCCTGACGTAAGAGACATTATGTCCACCCTGTGGGTCCTTCAAAATATTGACTACTTTGCACGCAAGATGGATTCTCGACCATAGATTGAAGTGGGATGCGTAATCTCTTAGGTAGTTGACATATTGCTGAATAGCATTCAGCATTCACCGCTGGCAACGTAGTGCACGGGCGGATATTTACCTCGAGCGTCAAGTGGTCAGAGTGAGAGAGTGAAATCAGTTGCTTCGATGACATCAAAGTCGTGTTCTGTCAGTTGCAGCCGTCAGTCCTGACTGAGGATAGCAACACGAAACATAGCAGACCTCGTAAAATCGATATTGGAAGGTGTCACCGATATCGTCCTCCTGCTCTAGTACAATGGGGTCAAATGGGAAGTCGTGCGTGGCAGCTTCAAGGAGCGTCTTGCAAGCAACCAGGCCAGACGGACCTGGTCCGAAGTACAGTGAGGTGAACGGGATAACACATGAATGAAGTGAGAGTATGGGCTTACCTGCCCCCACAATAACGACTTTTGCAGACATTTGTCGTTTATTTTATTATGGTAAACTCCTGGGTTGAGCCTGACTTCTTGGGCACGCCAGCTTGCAATGACAGCAGTTACGAAGTTCTCTTCCCGAGCACAGCTCCAAGTTCACGGAGTCGCACAAACTGAAGGATAACGCATCCAGAAAGATGAGACAGTGATAGGCAAAGGGCACCACCCACCGCTTGAACGAGAGTACAAGGGATGCACGTATGGCGCGCAGCCGCGCGTGTCACAGCTTGACTGACATCGCACTAACCGCTCGGTTAAGACCGAACCAATAGTCTTTCTTCTCGCGCTACTCGTCTGAGTCGCCTCATGCTCCTTGTCCCCGATTCCGCGACTCTCACTGCTTCTAGGTCTTCTTTGTGTGCTGGAACACGGAATTACGTAACCGATCGTCTACTGATTTTTGGCATGCGAGGAGTCGAATCTCGTCTAGAATTCATCCAAAACTATCTGCTTCGTAGTATGTGGGCTTAATGGAGTGTTTTGTAGTCTGAAGCGCTCGAACCTATCTGCTCGGACAGATGCCGTTCAAAGAGGCCTGGTATTAACTACTGAGCATAGCATGTCTACCCGTTATCTGGGACTGAGTCTGCAGGCACACACAGCATCCTCACAACTTGAAAGCTAGCCTCCTGGCAGAGAGCTGTGCCTTACATTCATTTGCATAACCCTGAGAGGCTGTCGCAGTTTAGCACTTAAATATAGGTGGCACAGAGCGTACAGAGTTTAATTCAGTTCCGTGGGGCATTTTTGAGTGCGTCCACGGCACTGTTGGGAAATATGCCCCGACTAACCAGCACGTCGACACATTCCTTGATCCAATTCTGGCAGTTCAACTGCTGGACCCTCGCCACGTTGGCCCCCTGGTCAAACGACGTTCATATTAGACGAGCTTTCGGGTATGATACGGCCAAAGCTCACCGAAGACGAGTGTCTGAGGCTCGGCCCAGGAGCCGGGATGGAGAAGACCACTTCTTCAAGCTTACACACAGGCTCTACTGGCGCCTCTGGGATATCCTCAACTGATGGATAGTCCTCGACGTATTGATCATCGACGTCGGCTAGCAGATACGTCGTGTGGCTGCGAGCTGTCTGACGCAGGTCATAGTTACGTGAGATGGCGTGCTGGAATCCTGACCGCACATCCCCAGTGACGTGAAGCCTGCTACCGACGTTCGCGTCCCTGGTGCTAGGTACGAAGAAGGACCAGTGAGCGGCGAACAGGCGGCTGTGATAGACGACCAGGCGAATTTGGCGGGTCATTGCCTAGTAAATGTATTTTATTTGAGTGCTTGTCAATATAGATGGAGCATCGAAGGACTTTCAGCAGGAGATGTTTGGATAGCAGCGCGGTTGTGGCAAAAGTTGAACTCAGAGATTCGGAAATGCCGATTAGACTTTTTCGTGGGTGCGGCAACATTCCACCGCTCGGTTCTGAATGAGCCAATCACGAGCTTGACTCGCTCATCGGCACTCGTCTGCTCGACTCAGGTCGGTTGCACTGGTAAGGCTTTGGCACTGGTGTGCATAACCCGGAGGCCCCTTTCTCAGCCTTTCACACTATACGGTGCATGATGCTTACAAACCCAGCACAAGGATTAGTGTCACCAGATCGTACGCAAGCACGCCTCTTACCAGCTTCCCTCGGCATCGATTTACACTGGCTTTGCTCAAAACATACACAGTCGTCTCCAGGCCCCTAGGGAGGATGACGCTATGCCCACCGATGTATTCGCCCAGCGAGTCATCAGCAAGATCGTCAGCCCTGATCCCCCAAACTATATGTTTTTCGGTTCCAAAGTCTACCATGCTCAGTGTGATAAGCTAGCTGCCGATGTCGCGGGTTCTTTCGATCGTACTGACGTATCGCGTCTTCAGGGCGCCTTGCTACCAGTCATGGCACTACCGTTCATCCTGAACATACTTCCGTCCCCGACTTCAAGTTTGTTACAAGTCGATGGAACTCCGCGTTGCACCACCCACAGCATCTTTTCTTAGCCTATTTTCGCATCTTCGTTGGCTGCTTTGCTATCACCCCTAGATTCCTGTTGTCAACACACGATAAGGAAGGCTTTATGACATTTACAGAGGGTTAGCTTGGGAACGGGAACCAGCGTGTCCCGCCAACGTCGAGAGCTGCTGGAGAAGTGATTTCATTATTGCCCAAACGATCCCCGTGTGGTGACGGCACCGTTTTCTGTTTGCCCATTCTCACGCCCGGTAAATCCTTTCCAACAGAATGCCAGGATGTTCGGAGAGGGAACTTGGAAGCCTCGTCGCCGAGCACTTTCGCTGTTACCCCATGTGGCTGTGCACGTAGTAGGTTCATGGTGCTATGTCGAGGTCCTACAGATTCCCATGTGCTCGAGTAGCCCGGTCTGAGCCCGGTTGACTGTCCCACAACAACGACAACGGCTTCTGTTCTTGTTGGCCGGATCAGTCTCCACCGTCTGTGTACCAAGACGGAACTCGAAGGACACACATGTATATTTGTCCCCCCGTCCAACGCGGCGCTCATGGCCGGTCCGTGTCTATTCAAGAAACCCCCAATGGATATACTCCCCGAGTCACCGTACGTACGCTCCAATCGATAACCTTGCCGTCGGTAATGCATGCGAACGCTGCAGTCCTACCTAACCATCGTCATTAACGCTGAAGGCCGTACCGATACGTTTATTAGTCACGCACAGCCTCTCATGAGAGAGGGGGGGTCACTCGCCCCCTCGTGGCTCGGAAGCACTCACGAAAGTAAGAGTGGTTCGGCTCTGCGACCCCACCAAAAACGAAATTCGAGCAAGGTGAATTAGTTGATATGTGGTGGATGGGATGAGGAGTTGTGAGATATCCAGGCGTGGATGTCTTACTGGACACACTGCTGCTTGGGTTAGCGACCACTTGCGAATGACCTTCAAGAAGAGACCTAGGGGAAGCCCAACACCAATATCGCCAATGGAAGTGATGCACATCGGTCCATGGGCCTGAAGTGACTATGTAGATACCTGTAGTAAAGAGCAAATTTATGGCAGTGAATGACTCCAGAGATTCGACTATAAGTCCTCCGACCCGTCCAGTATGGCGAGATTTGCTTAGGTTCGCTTTCCATTAACAGTTATCCTGATTGACACGAACGACGATATGCAGGCAATTCTCACTGACCATGGACCAGCGACACGGCGTCCTGCACCTCGTTATCCGCTGACAAGTCAGCCACCCTGTCAACCATCGCGACACACGTCCATAGGTCTAATAAAGCGGCGGTAGAACAACTCATCCAGGAGGAGCAGCCCTTCGCTCTCCGCCTCCCACTCATCCGCGTCCTCCGGTCCCAGCCATACCTGGTCTTCGCTCGTGTCTTGTAAGTACAACTTCGTTGCAGGTGCCCTCGCTCTGGTCACTGGTATCACCTTCGCCGGACTCGGAGGTGCTTCCCATCACGCGGAACGGGACCCATTCCAGCTTGCCGGTATTTGCTTCCTCCTTATCCCCCTTGGGATCGGATCATTGAACTGAGCATATACGTGACCGTGCTGCAGTTCGCGCTGACCTCGAACATCTAGGCAACGTGTTCTACACCGGCGCCATCGAGAAGTTCGACGAGAATGTATTCGAGAGCGCGGGCTTCCCTCCTTGGGGCGCGGGAGGTATGAGCAGATCGCGGGACACGAGGCGTCGCCTGTGACGTTCCTTCAGAAAGCCAGCGGGGAGAATGCGACCAAGCCCTGCACGGATAGCTTATGAGTTCATACAGTCACTTCCTTCATCCCCACGCTACGGCATGGCTGACTGCGAGTAAACAGCCCGTATACAGATCCCAAAAGTTTCGCGGCTTTGAGTTTGTCCATCGAGGAGGTCGGAACAGCTGCGTACCGAGGGGCAGCGCATTCGCTATCTCACCGCGATGATATTAATGCTGCCTGTGTGGGTGCATTCTTCGTGGTCCAGTACATGCGGTTAACCCACCTGATTTCTAACAATCTATTCTGGCTATGGAGGCCCGTCAGACAAGCTGGATCCATAGCGCGGTCAACAAAGGTGAGCCTTGGTCGGGCCCATTCATCTCGAGCACCGCACAAGATGACCGCTCACCATATACCACTCGAAATATAAGCACCGTTCATCACGTCGTGCCCCGAGAGCAACCCTCCTTTGCCAGTCTGTCGTTCTATTAGTCCCTCAATGCCCAAGGCAGGGTCCACCATCAAAGTTTCCGTCGACAAATCCGACTCTACCGGCATGTTTATGGCATACTACTTCGGCCTGTCTGTCCTATCCTCAGAAATCCAGGACGGGCAGATGATTATTCCGGAGGGACTTCAAGATGTGGTATTCGCCAGAGTGGTGTCTGAGAAGCCCACAGAGGGCAAGCCGCCTAGCGACGAGACGATCAGGAGCGGGTTAGTGGTTATTGATTTTGGGCTGCCTGCTGACGCGAAGTATGAGTCGCCCATGGAGATCCTTGCCTAGTTTTTTCCTTTCATTTTACATCAGTTCCATAGGGTCAAATTGGTGCGAGTCTGTAAATGTGATGAGCTTGTCTATTGTCATCGGATTTGAACATACCCCATAATTCAGAGCTGTCACTGCCTGAAGTCCTGCAACGCAACTAGATAAACCCAGATTGACGGAATTACTAGCAAGCGGTATACCGACCGAGGCCTTTCAGATACCACACAATTCGTGCATGATACTTATTGCCGAGGATTTCCGGATGATATTACAAGGTTTTCGCCCGCAATTGTCAGAAAAACTTACCTATATGGCGTGTCTGCACTACATGAGCAACGTATAATCAAAGAGATCTGCGCCGGTGTGCCCCTCCTTTGAGAGGGGTTATGCCAAACCCGCAATACATCGCACTTTTCGACCAATCGGCAAGTTCCGGCGTCCCATGTTTGGCTCCAGTGGCACACGGCTACACTTGAATCTATCTCGCGCAGCTAGACTCCGGTCCATGCATAGACTATACTTTGCATCTCACTTACATATCGAAGTAAACAATCAGTACTACATTCCATCTCTGAAGTCTTCTTGGCAGGGCTACGAGGGCATCGACAGCCAGCGTTGTCTTTGCTCGATGATCGAATATCGGGCAGGTATTGCGACAATCACAAGTACGAACCGATTATGGATCCTGCCCTCGTTCAGTACACCCTCGCCTACCGCGTACATGGGGGAGAAAACCAGCGAGTAATAGCAAGCGATACGAGGTCACCGATGTCCAATATCGAGTGCACGTTCACGCTTGTCGGACGGAAGCAAGACAACAGCGATTTCAGCGGACGTTCCCATCGGGTCCGCAGTGACATAACGCAGCCCGGCCTCACGTTATGTTGTGATCTCCAGGGTCGCAGAGCCTGCGACCACATTAGCCGAGCTCAGGTAACCGAGATTCGATTAGAGTGACAGAAGTGAGCATAAGTGGACTTCGGATAACCCATACCTCGCAACAACCGACTCTGGCAATCCAGAATGGCAGACATGCTCACCTCTTCCGATTGTTATCTCCGTCTAAGCCGTCTGCACGGTGTATTGAACACGGTCGGTTCGAGCAGTCCAACACGCCACCCGCGTCGCGAAGAGGAGTAAGCGCATATCTTACCTACTCTGGTTTGGAATGCAGATGAGGTGTGTGATCTGTAGGACATAGACTGGACGAGCACGACAGAACGGTGAGCCTGGGAGAACGTTGCGAATACTTTCGAGACCGGTTTGGCGCGGGACTGACTTTCGAGAAGCCTGACGCTTGCTCGAGAGTGGGACTCAAGACTACAAAAGGGTCAAGGGAGGATGTGACGGCCGTGTCGTAATGGTCTCACAACGATGCTGCTACAAGGTAACAGAAAATTTCATGATAGAGGATGCCATAGTAGAGGTGCACATAACGGCTTGCGTGGAAGGAGCTTTCCATATGGCTTTGCGACCGGGGTTAGCAGCCATGTGATAGAGGGCCGAGCGAAGCTGATGACAAGTAAATGCGCCCACTGGGCATTCAAATGACGATGAAAGGAAGGTGCACATATCGACCTACCTCTTGTCTTCAAACGCTCTGGCGAGAGTCTAGATTAAATGTATACCTCTCAACTTGAAAATCATCAGCCCGCCGTATAGCCTGCCTTGATTTCAGCAAAGCATCGTGATTTCAGAGTGTTTTTCTCCTCAGTGTCGCACAACCATAGCGTGGGTCAAGATGCAAGGAGAAAGCTTAGTACCTAGTAGAGTCGACAGCACGACAGAAAACCGAAATACCAGTGCACATTCTAAGATCCAAATTCCGATCCGAGCGGAACTCCCGGCCCGGGCCGTGTTGTACAACTTCAAGATGTAGAGTCCGCTACTTTGCCGCGCCCTG